GCTTGATGGTTTAACAGGGCATCGGGGATGTAGTGTGTGGGTTATCCTGTGAAGGTTCTAGAGCCGTGGTCAGCAAACAGCAGCTCACGAGCCACATGCGGCTCTTTGGCTCCCTGAGTGTGGCTCTCCAACAAAAGACCACGGCCTGGGTGAGTCTATTTTGAAGAAGTGGCGTTAGAAGAAGTTTCAGTTAAAAAAATGTGACTCTCCAAAGAAATTTCAGTCGTTGTACTGTTGCTATTTGGCTCCGTTGACTCACGAGTTGGCCGAGCACTGGGCTAGAGGACAGACAGCGGGAATAGAGGACGGCATGGTGACCTCCCAACCCCGCTTCAGGACGGGTGTCTGAGGCAGCCGGTGAAGGGCGGTGGGAGTCACGGGACGCCACCATCATTGCTGAGGCACATGGTGACAAAGTGTGGACCTGTGCGTGTTGGCGGGGAGGGGTTCTCCCTTTTTCTTCGAGGTCCATCGGGACTCTGGCTCTCCTGGTGCAGGTGGCTTCGGGGACTCCGGGAGCGTCTTCCTTGGTGAGGAGATCAGAGACTGACAGCACCACCAAAACCAGCTGTCCACACCAGGGAGCAGTGGAAACGCCCGGCTGTCCAAGTACAGGGCTCTGCTGGACAAAAGAAGCCGACAGGAAGGACGCCACAGTCCAGTTACAGGAGGTTAAATAGGCACGTCAAATCCCTGAAAACAGAAGTCAGAGTGCCCTGGTCTCCGGGCAGGACACAAGGGCGCCTTCGGGTGACAGGGCCATTCCCTGTTGTCTCAACCTGGGTGGTGGTTGTATGGTGCCTCTCCAATCTGTCCACCTAGGGCCCTGGTCGGCAAACTGTGGCTCTCCAGCCACATGTGGCATTTTGGCCCCCTGAGTGTGGCTCTTCCACAAAATACCACGGCCTGGGCGAGCCTATTTTGAAGAAGTGGCATTAGAAGAAGTTTAAGTTTAAAAAATGTGGCTCTCCAAAGAAATTTCAGTCGTTTGTACTGTTGCTATTTGGCTCTGTTGACTAATGAGTTTGCCAACCACTGGCCTATGGAAGCTCCACCTCAATAAAAATAACAGTTGAAGAACTATTCGAGACATTTATTCATGTGAGCAAACGCCTACCAAGTCGTCGTTAGTCTGACAAGAAAAAGAGTAGCCCCCGGGACGGGTACACATGGGAGGGCAATTAACCAAAAAGCACACGTAAGAGAAGGTCTCGGTTAAAGCACATCGTATGTTGAGAGGGACTGTTTTGAGATTGTGAGGATATGCCTAATTCCCCTCTCCTCCTTTTCTATTTTTCTGTTTTTCCCAACTTCATACAATGAGCATGTGTTGGCTTTATAATTAGACATTTGTTTAACAAACTGAAGGATGTGTTTGCAATTTTTACAGCCGATCTCAGTGTTGACTGACATTAACTACAGTCCATTCGAGCCCCAGGTGTGTCCACGTGAGCTGCTCTGTGGCAGGTTTGAGCTGCCTGTGTTCAAACAGGTAGCCCTTGGAACCCCATGGAGAAGACCATCCGGATGTTCTCCCCACCTGTGGACGATGCTCTGAGCACGGGGTCCAGAGATGGCGTGGGTACGGAGCGGGAAGCAACCCTTGGGAGTTGGGGGCAATGACCAGAAGTGGAGCAGCGGTTTAAGGACTGGCCAGAGACACCCTCCAATACGGGCATCGAGGCGAGTGCCAGAGCAGTCAAAAGACCGTTTCTGGTGGGAAGTCTGGGTGCCACGCCTCTGAGGATGGGAGCCCTGGAGACTGGGAGGGACCGAGTGAAAAGGGAAGCAGAGACCGGGAAGCGAAGGCACAGGATCCGCTGCTCATTGGTTGTCATTGTATCCAGAGGAGTGTTTCACTGAGGAAATGCTGAAGATGTTCCTTCCCACTGGTTCTCACTCCCTTGGGCGTCCATGGGACGGACCCCTATTGCGGGAGCTGACCTGAACTCACCTCTGGACCCAGAAGCGAGAGGGGGTCAGGCACCTGCTAAGCTGGATTCCTCGTCTCTGCCTTGTTCCCATCTGATGTGTGTTTTCCAAACCAACGTGGCCAGGAGTCCTTCACTGTTTAAGCGGGGAGCTGCCTTCCGGACCCCCAGGCCTAAGCCTTCACTGGACATTTGAGGAAACGGGAGCCCGGAGAGGAAGTGTCTTGGCGGAGAGCACGGGGTGAGTGGGCACCACAGTGTGGGCGAGGGAGCCTGCTCCTTGCTCCACGCTGCCCTCTGGGGGTGAGCACGCCGTCAGGGGCTCAGCCACCCCCGGGACCAACACAGGGCAAAGCCCCAGCTCCACATGGGAGAGTCGGAAACAACCACTGTCTCCTACAGAAACGTAAGGTTTGTCCAGCAGCACCTGACAGTCCCCCGCCATGTATCACCAGGAAATGCAGGAACCAAAGCTGCCCCTGTTTTTGGTGCCATTTTACACCCATGTATTTGCTACTGTTTTTGTGAACTCTTTCTAAAGCACGCTTCCTATTTCACTGCTTAACCAACCCCCAGAGGACAGCATCTGCAACAGCTCATCCCATCACTTCACGCCCCGTCCCACCCTGCGCAGGCACAGAATAAGCACAATCTAAGTGAGGGACGTTAACGTTATTTTCCTAAGCCTAGCATTTTCCCTCCCTTTTTAATTTAATTTTATTTATTTTTATTTTTAAACATATTTTATTGATTTTTTTACAGAGAGGAAGGGAGAGAGATAGAGAGCCAGAAACATCGATGAGAGAGAAACATCGACCAGCTGCCTCTTGCACACCTCCCACCAGGGATGTGCCCACAACCAACGTACATGCCCTTGACCAGAATCGAACCTGGGACCCTTCAGTCTGCAGACCGAAGCTCTACCACTGAGCCAAACCGGCTTCGGCTTCCCTCACTTTTTAAATTCGCGTCCCCCACCTCGCCCCTTTGGCAGCCAGTAGCTCCTTCTCTGTGTCAGTGGGTCTGTGTATCACTCGATCTTGACCACAGACCTAAGGAGCGTTTCCGTAACTTGCTCAGGTCACACAGTAAATAGCGACGCTGGGGCTGACATCCAGCAAGAGGACTGCAGGGTGCGTTTCCGAGTCGTTGCCTCTTGAATGACACACAGGATGAACTGGGACATTTTCTTTATGGCTCCCTGTCCTGGTTAGGGTGACTGGCCTTAGGCTCTGTGGTCACACAAACATATATGCCCATGTGGGGCGGTTCTGGATTGCGGGGCTATCCCTGTGCTTTCCCACTTCCCCTGGTCTCCAGGCACCAGGGTCAGCTTCACTCCTTCAGCTTCTTATTTGCTGATACTAAGCAGCTATATACAAGGAACCCAGGGAACCAGTTACCGTGTTTCCCCGAAAATAAGACATCCTTCAAAAATAAGACCTACTTACAGGTTTCCTTCTGAGTGAAATATAAGGCATCCCCCCAAAAACAAGGCCCCCCCAGGCTAAACATGAGAGATTTGGTCCACTGATTCTGAAAGAAATGGAGTCACAAAAAATTCACCAGGAAATTCAGGAATTGGATTGTTATGATGATGTTCCAGAAGATGATGACATGATTATCATTGAATAAATGAATAAATTCTTGATATTGTAGGATTTACAGTTTGTCTGGTTTGTGTTGACAACTATCGTACTACTGTACCGTATACAGGTAATAAATTTCCTTTATTTTCATTTAACAATAAATGTGTACCATATTCTTCTTCATGGAAAAATAAGACATCCCCTGAAAATAAGACCTAGCGCATCTTTGGGAGCAAAAATTAATATAAGACTGTCTTATTTTCGGGGAAACAGGGTATCTATTTATCTATCTATCATCTATCACCTATCTATCTGTCTATCTATCTATTTATCTATCTATCCATCTATCTTTATTGATTTCAGAGAGGAAGGAAGAGGGCGAGAGAGATAGAAACGTCAATAATGAGAGAGAATCATTGATTGGCTGCCTCCTGCACACCCTGCCATTGGGATCAAGCCCACAATCTGGCATGACTGGGAATCGAACCATAATCTCCTGGTTCATAGGTCAATGCTTCATCACTGAGCCAAGCCAGGCAGGCAACAACTGAGGTTTTTAGATAAGTCACCAACCACCGAGAAAGCTTGACGTGACTGCCTACTATTGTCATCTAGTCCTGAATTCGACCCTATACTCCCGGCATTTGTTGCCCATTTCATGTTGACAAGTTCTCACACCTCCAGACAGACCGTATCCTGGGAGTGGGAACTCTGCCACCGCTATTCCTGGCACAGTGCCTGCACCGATGCCCGCGGGGCTGGAGGGCTGCAAGACAGTGAAGAGGTGGAGTGGAAACTCGTACTGACGGGCCCCACCAGACTCCCGAGAGAAAGGTGGGCAGCGTGGCTTGCTCGCAGGGGAGCCTGCAGTTCACATGCTTTAGGTACCAGTTGTTTTCGTTTACAGAGAACAATCGCACAGGGTGCTGAGTGAACGTGTCAGTTGCAGTAGGCAGGTGGTGGGGAGAAGGATGGGTGAAGGGGAGCACCGGTTATTACGAAGGATTCCCTTCTCAATTTCAAGGAAGAGGATGGGATCTGGGCCTTGGGGCCTCACGCTGAGAAGCCCCGAGGCCTTGCACATGGCATTTGCCCCGGGGACAGCAGGGGTCTTTGTTTTTGTTTTCCCATAAAGCCAGGGCTTTGCACTAGATCCATGTGACTCTCCCAGTTCCGAGATGCTCCCGTTCTTTCTGCTTCCTAACAGCCTCTGCCTAGTTGGATGAGCAGGGTGTAAAGAGAATCGTGTAACTAGGGAATTGTGTAAAGAGAATCGTGTAACTAGGGAAGCCCACGTGACAGACCCGAAATCTACCCTCCAGCCTATTTAAAGCTCAATTAAAAAAGGAAAAGAAAAAGGAGAACTGTTTACTGATTTTTTTTTTTGCCCTGCAACATACGTAGGCTTGACAACTCCGCCCCCCCCTTTAAGTAGAAACTGCTTAAGCTTCCTGCACATCAGCCGCTATATGCTTGATTTGCACAGCTCAGCTGGTCAGAGGAGCTAAGACATCCGTCCCCATCAGAAACTTCCCGGTAAGTCACCTCTCAGGCACTTTGCCTATGAGTTAGCTCAGCTTCTGTGATGAGTACAAGCGTCTACAGGAAACCCTGAGGAGGCATTAGACAGGCACCAGGTGCTCAAAGGACTATCTTAAACTATCATCTTGACCATCAGGAAGAGCTTCAGACTTTAGAATGAGTTTCAGACGGTGATAACATCGAAGATACGAAACACGATTATGAATGAGAAATTCTAAAGGAAATGGTATTATTTCTCTGAAAGCCCTGACCTTTCAAAAGGAAGCTTTGTCAGAGAGGGGATTCTTGGCAGAGTCTGGGGAGAGGTTATCTTCTGGTCAGGACAAAACCTCCCGGCAGGATGCCCTCCGAGCATGCATCCCACCAGAAGTTGCATCTCAGTCTGGTTCTTTTGGTGTTTTCCCCCCCCACAGAAAAGAGGGAGGCTGAGAATTGCCTGAATTAATATCATCACAAATATCAAAGTCTCCCTCTAACATATGAGTCTCACAGCGCATGTTCGTGTGTGCTCCTTTTTCTGGCTCAGATGATCTTCCCCAGCTGCCCAGGATTGGAGGGAAGTCTCAGGCCAGGAGTGGAACGTGGGTAGCTGGGACTAGCTGGAGGGTTGCGAAGGAACTGAGCTTACACAGGAAGGGTGGTGACGGATGAGACATTGTCCACTTGGCCATTCCTTACTCAACGCGACTCAGGAACTGTAAATGCAAACTTCGGAGGAAAGGAGACAGTGGTCTGGATGTTACAATTGGCCATTGGCCTCAGGACCCTCTCCGGGTCCTGGCCTCTGCAAGTCCATTTCGTTCTGACCACAGAGAGAGAGGGGCACCATGCTGATGGGCCTGCCCGTTGGTTCTCTCACCAAGGAGGGAGAGACAGGATGACATGGTGGGTGAGCGTAGGTTGCCTGTGTTCAGAATCAGTTGCTCCCCAGCTGTGTGTCTTTGGGTAAGTCACGCATCCTCTATGGACTCTGAGAGTCTCCTCTGCCACATGGGAGCGGTAATGGGACCTGCCTCACTGGGTCACCTTGAGGATTAGTTGCCTTGTGAAGCTTAGTGGTTGGCATGCATGGTACGCTGGGAAACTTAATTATCAGAGTAAGCCTGAGGTGATGCTCACGAAAGCCCGCTCCAGGGAATGGCAGCTTTGGCATAGATTGCCAGGCAGTGCTGGACTGAGGGTGCCTGACCACGCTTCATTTTTTTTTTTTCTTTTTCTTTTTAAAAAAAATATTTTAGCCGAGACCGGTTTGGCTCAGTGGATAGAGCGTCGGCCTGCGGACTGAAAGGTCCTGGGTTCGATTTCGGTCAAGGGCATGTACCTTGGTTGCAGGCACATCCCCGGTAGGGGGTGTGCAAGAGGCAGCTGATCAGTGATTCTCTCTCATCAATGTTTCTGACTCTATCCCTCTCTCTTCCTCTCTGTGAAAAATCAATAAAATATATTTTTAAAAAATATTTTACTGATTTTTTTACGAAGAGGAAGGGGAAGGAATAGAGAATTAGAAATATTGATGAGAGAGAAACATCGACCAGCTGCCTCCTGCACACCCCCTATTGGGGATGTTCCTGTAACCAAGGTACATGCCCTTGACTGGAATCGAACCTGGGACCCTTCAGTCCCCAGCCTGATGCTCTATCTAGTGAGCAAAACCAGCGAGGGCCTGGCTCCATTTCTTGAAACTGTTATTCAAGTTTCTCTCACTGCATGTGGCTGTGGAACCATCAGATTTTATTTGGCAAGATGGTCCTTTTCGGAGTTTCCCCTACAGAGCGAGTAAGCAAGGAAACTAGCGGCAAGCCTTCCCTTTATTTTAAGAGTTCATTCTGTGGCAAAACACACACACACACACAAAACACAACACAAAACACACACACACACACACACAAAAAACACAACACAAAACACACACACACACACACACACACACACAAAAGCTCAATTAAATGTAGAAATCTATGTATCTATTTCAGGGACCCATTCGTGTGTAAAAACGTTCGCAGTCATGGTGGACCCCTCGCTGCCTTCTGGGGCTTTCCCAGAGATCCCTGCTTCTGTCCTCACGGGGCTGAGCACGATGGACCAAGTGTTCGCCACCACCGATTACATCGACTACAGCGTGTCCGAGCCCTGCCTGAAAACCGACGTGAGGCAGGTGGCTGCAGGACTGCTGCCCCCGCTCTACGCGCTGGTGTTCATCTTCGGCTTCGTGGGCAACCTGCTGGTCGTCCTCATCCTGGTCAAATGCAAAAAGCTGAAGAGCATGACTGACATCTACCTGCTCAACCTGGCCGTCTCCGACCTGCTCTTCCTCCTCACCCTCCCCTTCTGGGCTCACTACGCAGCCGGCCAGTGGGTCTTCGGGAACACCATGTGCCGGCTCCTGACGGGCTTCTATTTCATCGGCTTCTTCTCCGGAATCTTCTTCATCATCCTCTTGACCGTTGACAGGTACCTGGCGATCGTCCACGCGGTGTTTGCTTTAAAAGCCAGGACGGTCATGTTCGGGGTGGTGACCAGTGGGGTCACCTGGGTGGTGGCCGTGTTCGCCTCTCTCCCGGGAATCATCTTCACCAGATCCCAACAAGAGGGCACTCGCTGCACATGCAGCCCTCACTACCCCACCAGCCAGTATCATTTCTGGAAGAACTTCCAGACCCTGAAGATGGTGCTCCTGGGCCTGGTCCTGCCCCTGCTGGTCATGGTCGTCTGCTACTCGGGAATCCTGAAGACCCTGCTGCGCTGTCGCAACGAGAAGAAGAGGCACAAGGCAGTGCGGCTCATCTTCGTGATCATGATCGTCTACTTCCTCTTCTGGGCCCCCTACAACCTCGTCCTGCTCCTGAACACCTTCCAGAAGTTCTTCGGCCTCAACAACTGCAGCAGCTCCAATCGGCTGGACCAGGCCATGCAGGTGACGGAGACCCTGGGCATGACGCATTGCTGCATCAACCCCATCATCTACGCCTTTGTCGGGGAGAAGTTCAGAAGCCACCTGTCGGCCTTCTTCCGCAAGCACATCGCCCGCCGCCTCTGCAAACGCTGCCCCGTCTTCCAGGGGGAGGGCCCCGAGCGCGGGGGGTCCGTCTACACGCGCTCCACGGGGGAGCAGGACATCTCTGCTGGCTTGTGACCTGCCCTCGGTTTTCCGCCCCCGGGCGGGGGTGAGGGAGGTTATCTCAGTGAGGAAGCGGCCAAAGATCCTCCCCTCTATTTGGCATCTGCCCTTCCATTCTAGAACCCGTACAAGTGGATGAGACAGCCACCTTGTCACCTGCCCTCCCTGGACCTCAGCAATGGACGAACGCTCCCCTCCCTGCAAAAGTTCATTGTAAAAACTGTCCCCCTGGAGTTGCTGATGCTTGAGTTTGGTTACCTGGCCAGGAACCACAAAACAAACCAGGACATAGTTTCCTGCCTGCACAAGGCAACGTACGGGTTGTAAGTGTGTGTAGAACAGTCCTCGTCTCGCCGTGGGGAGGAGAGACTTGGACGTGGTCAGTTATGAAAGGCCGTCTCCTCGCAGGACCTCCCCTCCAAGGTGGGCAGTAAGCTCCCCGGGCACTCGGGACCAGCTGAGAGCCGGTGGCCTGGTGGAGCAGAGAGGAAGGGAGGGGGCCCCGCTGCTGGTGGAGGAGAGGGAAGCTGTGCGACTGGTTGGGAGGAAGGTGTGAGTTGGAGTGGCCTGGGCCAGCATTGCAGAAGTTCACCCCGTGCCCTGAGGAGGTCCTGGGAAGGTGAGCATTTCGGGCAGGGAGACCGGCAACACGCAGGTCAGGGTCATGAGGCCTCTGCTTGGGGTCACGGCACAGGAAGGGATGGGGTGGTGGGGAGTTTGTGCTCAGCATTTAGGGTAAGAGCTGGGCAGATTGGGGTGGGGGGTAAGGGGCACAGAGAGACCCTAGGTTTCAATGTGCAGACTGGAGATGCCCTAAAAGTGGCTTCTAGGGAGGTTTAGGGGAAAAGCAGGAGGGGGAGGCGGGAGAGGGGGGTGAGTGTTGTGAGCTTATATGCAGCCTGGTATGGACAGACCCTGGCCGTCTCTCCTTGATGCATCAGCTCTCAGAGCATCCTTCCTGCCCCAGCTCAGCCCCCAGGCATCTCCTGGAGGCTGTGAAGCAACATGTGTATGAATGCATGTGCCTGAGGCCAGGAACACTGCCAGCTCAGACAGGGACCCATATAGTTCCTGACAACCCAGAGCTTTATAAGCATGGAGCCCAGAGGTGAGGGAAGCCCAAATGACTAAGAGTCTGCCTGCCACACCCCCGCCTTCCTCCCCTACCCCCACCCCCACTGTCTAAGCATCGTCTTCCGGATTTAACCCTATCAACAGGCAGAGCGGAGAACAGGCTGCCCCCAGCTCTGTAGCCACAAAAAGTACAATTGACCAACCTCAGTGTTTCGGGCTGAGTGTGGGGACTGTAGATACTCTTCTTCAATGATGCCTCCTCCACACAAATCCTGCCCAAACACTAAGGGAGTTACCCATTTGGAAGGGAGAACTATGGGATTTTTCCCCCTCTCTCTGCAGTTGCTACTTTCCTTACTTAGCATATGCCTGAGAATGTTTTGAATTGAGGTAGCTAGGACCACAGCAGTAAACATCAGGAGAGGAAACTTACAGGAGTGAGAATCATCTGGGAGATAAAGGTGTCAGAAAAATAGGAGGTGTTAATGGTTTTTCTCAAACTCAAAACTTGAACCTTGTGGGTTGTGGTTGTTGGCAGGAAGTGACCGAAGTACCTGATCTTTCCCTCTTAAGGCAGTTAGGGGAGCATAAGTAGCATATGACCCCAGCCTCTGGCCTGATTCAGACATTCTGGTATCTTTGTATCTATCTAGAAGATAGATAGATAGATAGATAGATAGATAGATAGATAGATGATAGATATAGAGATAGATAGAGATATATGGTCTTCGTATGTATATAGAAAGTTACCAATTGCTTGGAAGAAAATATGTGTCTAATAAAACCACCCTCTAAAATAATAAATTATATTCTTGTTCCTTCAGTGCAGAGTTCATTTAGAGACTAGCACTTTAACTGTGATGGCATTTTGTAAGTAACTGGGAGAATTTCATCATGTATTGAGAATTGTATTTTTTTTAATAGTTTGAATAAAAAGTTGACCTGGTACCTGGATCAAACTTCCAGAATAATTTATATTTAAAGATGCTGCCTCCAGGGTGGAGTTTCTGAGCAACTGACCTTGGAAATCATTCAATTCCCAATTTAATTCTGTGACTCAAAAGAGTTGACACATTGCTGTTGATGCTTTAAAAAAGCACCCCATGTGTGTTGAAGCACTCGGCAGCTGTGTTTGCCAGTGAGGGCAGTAGATAACGCCATGGCTCATGGGCCTGCAGTCCTGAGTTGAAGGCAGTGGGATGCGGGGGGCGGAGGTTGGTTGCTATAAAGGCTGCTTTTTGTTCATTTACCATCTCTCTCAAGCACCTGGCTGCGGTGATGACAACAATGCCCGTGTGGACCTCTGAGCATGCGTCAGAGCACAGGTGCGCCAGGTAGAGGTGATGGTGACGTCTGCGCACATTCATGGTTGGGAACATGCTGGTGTCCAGGTTTGCAGGCTGCTGTGCTGTCACCTTCCAGCAGGTGGCAGCAGAACCAGCTGCCATCCTACTTGGATGTGGGTGAAACACTAAAAAGATAAGGACAGCTGGAGTTGGCTCTTTTTTTTTTTTTAATATATTTTATTGATTTTTTTTATAGAGAGGAAGGGAGAGAGACAGAATTAGAAACATCGATGAGAGAGAAACATCTATGATATCAGCTGCTGCCTGCACACCCCTCACTGGGAATGTGCCCACAACCAACGCACATGCCCTTGACCAGAATTGAACCCAGGACCTCTCAGTCTGCAGGCCGATGCTCTATCCACTGAGCCAAACCGGTTTCGGCTGGAGCTGGCTCTTAAGACAACTTCCCCAAAAAGCATTGAAGGGCCACTTTCCATCTCCTAAGCCTAGAGGAGGCAGGAGCCCGGGAAGGCCGACCGGGGGCTGAAGGTAGTGTAGAGGATGGGGTCAGGGACAAAGGGGATCTGCCCCAGATGATGCAGGCAGCTGTTTGGGCAGGTTGGAAGGTGTCAACTTTTAGGGCCAATATACATCACTTCTTAACTCCTTTCCATCTTAACAAGGGACTCCAGAATGAACATGAAGAAATAGCTGCCTGGGGTGTCTGCAGCCTTACCAGGGCCTGCCCCCATGAGCTCCTTCCGCCCATTTCCTCACTTCTCCTCGGCCTAGACCCTCCACTGCCTACTCTTCTCCGGAGTTCTGACTCCATTCACCATCCCCTGGGGCCGTGGTTGGCGAACTCATTAGTCAACAGAGCCAAATAGCAACAGTACAACGATTGAAATTTCTTTGGAGAGCCACATTTTTTAAACTTAAGCTTCTTATAATGCCACTTCTTCAACATAGACTCACCCAGGCCATGGTATTTTGTGGAAGAGCCACACTCAAGGGGCCAAAGAGCCACACGTGGCTCTTGAGCTGCAGTTTGCTGACCACAATCCTGGGGGAAGGGACCTTGCCCCTCCACACAAGGAGGGCACTGTGTACATGCGATGCATAAAATCCTTAGCACGGAGGAATAAGGGGAGGAATAAGGTACAAATTCATAAATCGCAATTCTGTTTACACTTGTACTCCAATGGTTCTCAAGTTTAAACAGCTCTAAGTTAAAATGCATTGGCATTTCCACTGCTACGATTACAAGCCATTTATTTGCTATTGGAGGGAACAAGACTCCCAAACATGAACATCAACTTCCAAGGGGTAACCTTCCTGATGAAGGTATTCCCCTTGCCATGAGCTTCCCCAGAGGCTAGAAGTGGAGATGAAAGCAGAGCCTATCCTGTGCTATCTAACTGCCCTCCCTGCTAATCTAACCTGTGGGCTTACAGTGGCCATGCGCCGGCTTCCCTAACCATCCTGGCCAGGAGGCAGAACTGAAATGCATTTCCATAGCTCCTTTGAATGTGAATAAAATCCACGGCGGAAATCTTGCTTGTATTTTTCCAAAACACCACTCCAAATGCTAATACGTTAAGTTACGTAGGTCATGATTGTGCCAGATTTTCCTTCATCATTTCCTTCAGGCATTTTTACAACGCTTATTTACGTTTGGCTCCATATTTTTACTCTTTAATTTGATTATAAGTTCGGTGTCATTGCAATTCTGTCATGTTTCAGGGATTTATTTTTGCTTCTTTTTTCCGAAGGTGGTAACTAGGTTTGTTAAGTGGATGTGTAGAAAGAAGTCTTTTTCAAACGTGATTCAATAGAAAGGCCTTCATGAAGAACGCTGTGCTATACTGCCCCCTTGTGGCCACTTTAGCCATCAACAAGGGTATCCTCCAACCAGCTGGGCCACAGAGAATGAAGACGGAGCCTTTTCCCCTTTATTGGTTTAAAGCTTGTCTGCTGGCACTCTTGTTTCTGAAGAACAAGGGGAGTGTGGGTGGAGGACACAGGTTGATGCCTGCGGTGAGATAAAAGTCCCAAATGCCCCTGCCAATCTCTGCAGATCGCTGAACTCACCATCTTGCAACAAGGTCCCAAAACGTCTTGTGGCAAAGCTTTCTCATAGCCCATAAAACGCCACGAGCCCCTCCCGCATCTCCCTTGCAGGTACCAAGTGTTTGTAGGTAGGTTTGTTTTACACCCAGGCCCTCCTCTCTCCCTTATTGATATCACCCCCATTTGATCACTTACGGTGTCATAGAATTTGAAACCAGGAGGGTTGCAAAGATCAGCCAGTCCGACCCCCTCACTTTACAGAGGAAGAGCGAGCCCACCCCCAGCCCCAGAGATTCTGACGTAGCAGGTCTGGGCCGGCTAGTGCAGTGATGTGTTTTCAGTCATGGTGCTTCCCCAACGCGCATGGGCAGCCAGCAGGGAGCCATTGAGTAGGGCGGGTGGGAGCAGGGAGGTGGGTCTGGGATTCAGGGGGATGGGGGGACGTGCTTAATCAAGGGTGCACACGGTAGTTTCTCGGGAGCTTTACAAATAGTAACAGCTGACTCCACCCCCAGGGATTCTCATTGGAGGGGTCTACAATGCGGCCGGTGGGTTTTTTGATGTTTAGAAGTTCCTGGTGATTCTAACTATGGCCAAGTTTGAAAACTCTGCCTACAGCCTGTCCTGCTGAGCATGCTGGAGCCAGGGCTGCGGTCCCAGGAAGACACCCCGAGCCCCCCACCCCGAACCCACTGCTGCAAGTGGGGAACACAAAGACCAGGGAGAGTCTGGATTCAGCTCCAGATTTTCGTAACAGAACATTAACACTGTCTTCAGCAAGCTGGTTTTTAAAGCCTAGGAATCTAGACTTAAGTGGCAGCATAAAATATCTACAGGAGGCCCTGAGTATTCTAAGGTCATTGCTGGTTTGGGATTATGCTTTGACTCATCCCTTCCAAGTGTAAAGTAAATAAAAGTAGGGTGTCTGGCACCCATGCTGAGCTTGCAGCTTCAACTTCCAGAGACTGTCTCTCGTGCAGAAAGGGGGCTGCTGTGTGAGATGTTCCAGAAGTGAGTACAGATTTCACTTCTGTTGGTGAAATTTCCCCCCCTTTTCCTTTAACCATTCCTTTAGCTCTCCAGTAGAACAACAT